CGGATTGCGATCTTTAAAGCCTTCATCTTCCTCATAGCCCCAACTGAGCTAACTCTGCTTTCTCGAGATCCGCTGCCTTCTCAACGACCTCGCCAGTTAAAGAATCCACTTTGAATTCACACTTTTCGAGCTCGGCATGCAGCGAGACCACCTGGGCTTAGAGATCGTCGCATTGGGCTTCGACCCCCTACTAACCTCCAGCTCCTCTTCTTTATCCCTTAGCGCCCCCTCAAGAACGCTGCATTTTTTGATGACCCTCACCAGCTCGTCATCCTTTTCCTTCAGCTCGTCTCAGAGAGCTCGAAAATTGACACCCTCACCAAACCGCCTACAAATCTCGCGGTACTTGCCACGGTACTCACGGTATTTTCTCTCCATCTTCAGAAAAATAGACTTATGCCTCTCCTCTCTTCGGGCAAATTACAGTCTGAAAGAGAGAAAAAGAAAACATAAAGTAAGAACAAAGCATAAACTTTGAACTTGACAAACAAAAATGAAAGAAGTTGAAAAGCTTACCCTGAGAGCGAGGCCGGCTATGCTCCTAGATAAGGTGGCGTCATCTAGCTTTTCAAGGGTTTCACCCTCCACACCGGAACAGAGGGGACCAAGGGAAGGAACCACGTTCTTCGTATTAACCAATAAATCTCGATCCATGGGGATCGCAATGGTCCACGTGGACCCCTCCAATCTTACTTCGAGTCGGGTTAATCCCTCCCCCGTCATCCTCACCTCATCGGTGTCAACATCAGAGCCCGTCTCGTAACCATCCTCGATAATGCTCTTTCCTTTCCTGTCGGCCAGCAAAGGTGGACCCTCAGCCGGTCGCGAGGCCGATGGCTCATCTTGTTGCAAAATATCAGGGACTCTCGCCGATGGCCCTTCAGCTTCCATCGTGGCTTTGGGAAGGGACACACCCTCTACGGCCTCAGCCGATGGCGAAATCTCGGACGGCAACTCGACGTCGTCTCCAAGTACTATTGTTGTTGTCTCACGAATGACAAAGTCGACCGTTGCTGAATCCATAACCCTGGCGATCCCGTCACCGACGTCAACCAACCTTCTCTTACAGGGAACTAAATTCCCACCGCTCGGCGATGACTTTTCCTCCTCATCCATCAGACGATACAAAAGAGAAACCGAAAGCTTTACTGCCGATATGTCCGCAAGCAGAGAAGAAACTAATGCTGAGGTAGCAGCAGGTGGAGCCGATGACCGAACAGACCTTCCCGCGGTGAAAGAAGGAACAAAAGTAGATGACCGGGCAAGCCTAGTCGCGGTCACGATGGGAATAGACTCCGAAGAAGAATCATCCTTCCTCTTACGAAAAGCAGGAGGAGGAGCCCTTGGCCTCCTCGAACATCCTCGAACTGAAAAGGAATGAAGGCTATCACTACCAAGAATAAGACTGCAACGAGTAAGCGACCATGAGGTTGAGATGGCAAACATTTGTACAGATGAACTCACCGGCCAAGGAAGAAGCAGACTCAGACTTCTTGAGAAAGCCCGGCCATTCACTAATCCCCACAATATGAGGCAGAACCCGGCCAACCCAGTTCGAAATATCCCCAACCAAAGTAGGGGGCGTAGTCTTGGCTGTACGAAGTGGGACAAAATGTCAGAATTGGTGACCAAAACAAATCAAGTGCTTTAACAAAAAAAATAGATACTTACGAGTGTAATTCCAAGTCTTAGAGAAGCCGTCCGCATTTGAAACCACGTCTTCGGTTCTGACAAAAAAGTAGTTGATCTAGAACTGACGATTTTCCTTTTCGTCCATCTTCACCACCAGGCATTTACTTCCTCGATGATGAAGGTGCAATATCGTCCCCCTATAGAAGCTAGGGGTGAAGAGATGCATCAGATGGCGGAGTGAGACCTCGACCCCGACCAATTCCGCAAACTTTTTGAGCATCCTAATAAGCATGTAGATATATGGAGAGAGTTGAGCCAGGCAAACACTATAGTAGCGGCAAAATTCCTCCGCCAACGGGAGAAAGGGAAGAGTATAGCCAACATGGAAAGGGTATGCATAGAACGTGCAATACCCAGGGCGGTGAATTTGTACCATATCGCCCCCTGCTGGGACTAGATCGATGTAGGCAGGAATGTTGAATTTTGCCCTAAGCTCAGTCAGATCAACCTCTTTCATCGCTGACTCCGAAACCTCGGGCTCGCCTTTAGGCGCCTTCGAAAAGTTAGACCTTACTTTCTCACTACGGAAAATTATTTCTTCCACCAAGGGAAAATTCTCGTCTTCAACGGCGACAGAGACGCCATCAGCGCGAGGGGGCATAAACACTGCCAAGGGGGTAAGGTTAATTCTCGCACCAGAACCAGAGGATACATTAACCATATTTCTTTTTCTTGAAAGAGGATATTCAGGCAAGGAAGTATGAGAGGTAATGAGAATTGCTAAGACTAGTAGGGAAGATAGGCATCAAGGGAAGAAGAATAAGGCATAAGGTTCTTTTTGAGAAACATAAGGAGCAAACGAACGCCGTTGCATCTCCCTTTATAAGGATTCAGGCACCAAAACCAAGAGACTATGCCATCATTACCTGGCACTAGAGTCGAAACGACAGCCCCCAACTGACAGTTATACGTGAAACGACGCGGAGCATCGAAAAAATGCGCCATGATGACGCATGACGTCGTGACGTCATTTTGGTGCAGAAGAGACACAACCCCAAAAGCTGCAGTTCACGAAAGGTCACGATGTCATCTCGTCTAAAACGTCACTGCTCGACTCGCTCGCCCAAATTTTGCCAACCGCAGTAAACAAAATCCGCTCATTGAGGTCACGTGAATCCGACCTTAATAAGAGGAGGGACTAACTGTATGGGTCGAAATCCGCCTCAGTACTCGGGATTAAACAGTATCGAGAAAGGAGTCGGCCGAGGTCGACCAGGAGATGACAAAGCCCGTGGTCGAGATGCGGAAGATGGTCGATGTCAAGCGCCGTAAACAGAGCTGTAATGGCTAGTTTATTAGGGCAGGATATTAAAGAGAATATTTTATTTGATATTCTCTGTACCTATACTATTAAGGTTTATTCGGGGTATGTCCCATATAAATAGGAAAATAGATAATGAATAGAGGGATGTGATATTCATTGTGATGAGAGCACACTTTACAAAATATTCTCTCTCTTGAAAAGATACAAAGAATACCTTTTAATCAAGATTCTTGTTTACATTATCGTGCAATTTTTCATCAGATCCAAGAAGATTTCGAATGTTCTAAGATATGTCTGTCATTTATTGCTATTTATTATTAGTCCTTCTTCCATTATTGCTTATATCTTATGACTAGTTAATGCTTGTTATTGTCAACCCCCTGCTGGATCTGTCCCACCTCACACACGCTTCCAAAACTTGCATCTAGAGATATTATCACTAACTAGGTTTAACCCATTATTATATAAATATAATAATTTTAATCGAAAATTATACTTTTTGGTCAAACATAGGCCATGTGGATTGTGGGACTAAACCCTCTACAATAAAAAATAATTCAAATAAGGGGATAAAAAAAGAGTCGTCGTTCTTATAAGTAATACTAACAAATTAGTTTCAATGCTGAACGAGTAGAATGTTGTTAACAGTATGCTAGTAGTTTTAAACGTGAATCAACAGCATCCATCTATATATACTAGTAAATAAATGGAGAAGGAGACTTTGTGTAAATATTGAAAGTCAATTCTAGTTGATTCCTATAACACTATACGTACCTACGTACCCTAATTTTTAATAACTAATTAAGACACAAATAGACAGTAGGTATCATTCATACTTTAAAATTCATCACAATTTTTTTAAAATTATCTCCTTGCCATTTCACTAGCAAGAATGGACGATCACGTCGGTACAAGGAGCAACCAGAGTTGTATTCCCGAAATTGTAAATTTTTATAGGGTTAAAGTGGTAATTGGACCCTCATTCCTACGTAGCGTGTTCCAAAAAACACGTGTAGTGCGTTTTTATACTGTTTTTTTTAATAACCGTGGTGTCCGGGTCCGCTTGCATGCGCGGGCCTCGACTAATTCCACGGGATACCTGCCATCTCCCACCAGCAACAGGTACCAGGTAACTCTATCCACCAAAACTTGGATAGATGTGAAGAAATCACCTAGTATTTGCCTCCGCTGGGATTTGAACCTCAGACATCATGGTTCTCACCCACTTCATTTACCACTAGGCCACACCCTTGGGTGCTTGCGTTTTTATACTGCTTTTCCTATTATGTCCCACTTACACTATGTTTGGATCATTGTTACACATCGTTTTATAATGTATTATATTGTACTGTACTGTACTGTATTGTATCGTTTTATGAATAAAACGTTTGAATAAATTGTATCGTTTGCTGTTGTTAAATAATATTTTTATTGTTGGTTTGACTGTATCGTACAACACTGTAATTGATAAGTTCACTAAATACCCACAATTATTTTAAATAAAATTTATCAAGAATTACACATAAAAATAATTTTAGAAAACCTCTTTCTACTAATTTATCCTTAATTACGTAGCTTGGAAATAAGAGAAAAAACCTTAAAAAAAAAAAGTTAACTAATATTAGCCACATCAAAAAAAAAATTAAAATGATGAAAAGAGACAAAAAATCGAACAGAGACTTGGATAATAAAAAGAACGCACAAACCAACTCTAAAAAAGATGAAAGAAGACAAAGTAGGTCAATGAATTGGCGATTTGGAGTTAAAATAAAATAAAAATAAAATAAAATCAAATTATAGAATAATAAGTAGGGACATAATTAGAAAAGAAAATAGAAAACGATCCAACTATACCAAATCAGTTATTTTATAAAATAAGGTTTTTGGTTATTTAGGAATAATAAATTTAAAAATATGATATAATTAATTTTAAATAAACAATCAAAATAAACATTATTGGAAATGAGTAACAATCATCCAAACAAGTTGTTACTAAAATGTCCTTTACCCTGACAAAACTTATCTTCTGCTTTTCTCTCTTTCAGGAACCAGATTTTTAGAACTTCCATGGCAGTGCTATCTAGCCTTCAACGCCTGACCAAAATTTCACTTCAAGTCTCACTCATAGCATCACCTTTCGTTCCTGTTAAGCTCTTTCATTTATTCATAGGTATGTATTCTTATTTTGGGAATTTTCACCTCTTTCATTTCGTTTTTTTTTTTGTGTGTATCCTTTATTGATTTTTGACTTAATTTATCATGGGTTTCTTTACTTTTCTTTCTCTGTGCTTGATTTTTTATGCATCTGTTTTTCCCACTCTGAAGATGAAAATAAGTGTTTCCTTTTAGTGATTCCGGAGGAAGTTACAACAACTAATGATCTTACTCGCCACCTTTAATTTGGTTGGAGGACATATAATGTGGCAGCAGAGATATAAGAGTTCTAAAGTAAAATCAGATATGCATGAAGGTAAACGTTAACGTACCAATTTATTTTCATTTGGTAAAGACCAAATTTTGGTCATAGAAGCAGCAGTGAACTAATGACTCAAAAATGAATTTTTCTTTAGCTTTTTATGTAGTATGTGTGGAGTACAAGATCCAGTACTATCTTTCCTCTTAATATAATAAGTTAAAATTTTGTTCACGCATTTGTATATTGTAATCACAAAAGTATTTTGAGATGAGTGTGTACCATTCTGCAGTGGTGTGAAAAGGACTACCATATTAACGGAGTAAATATGAGTATCATCATGCTAAATGCAATTGAGGCTGCAAGAATGAAAGTATTCTTCCTACTCTGGGCACTCTATTCCTACCCTGAGAATTTGGTTTCTTATAGTTATATTTGAGTTTTCTCTTTCATATGACCCCAGCTCTGCATGAATTATATTTCATTTACAGGTACAACGTGACTTTATGCAAAATGGTTGCAGAGAAATGGATCAGAAAAATGTCGAATATGTCAACAACTCTCGATCTTTATGTTGCCTCTGATTTTTTTGATGCAAATGGATATGATACCCTCACCATCTATCAAATATAAGGTGCACGTTCTCAGAAGCTCTTTTGTGTTCTTATAGTTATGGCTAAAACATAATCATATTGGGACTTGATAGGTTACAAGTACCTTGCTTTATGTTTTGATGATCTAACAAATTTACTGTCAAGAACCAGATAAGGAACCGGTTACATATCCTCAAGACCTTAAGATCGAAAGGTTCCAGCTTGGAATATGTCTCGACTCTTCAGAGCCAGAGGAACAACAGAGGGAACGGATAACTATCATTCCCGAGGAAATTGTAGAAGTCAACTGCCCCAACTGTAAAGTTGCTACATGCACACGCTACAATGCAGAAACAGTGCAGCAGTCAACTTTATGGGGAGTGTCTTTTACCTACCTTGCTTACATCATTTTAGTGATGTCACAAATGCACTATTAACATTAAGGAAGGTAAAAACAAATTAGTGGTTCACTTAGAGAATTCATTCAAGCACTCTCACGGTCATTGATCATCACGCAATCAATTCTCAAGTGCATCAAGAACAAAGAACAACACTACTACGAACTAGTTCCCCACAACAAGTCATTGTATGTCCTTAGTTGAGTTGTAACTTTGTAACAGTTATTAAACTATATTTCCTACTTAGCTTGTTTAGAAGTATTCTGTAGGAAACTCATTGTAAACCTTAAACCTTTGTGTTTGAGTCTTGGTTAGAGTTAGTCAAGTTGTAAAGTCTTTGTAATAAAGTTATTACAAAGTGGCTTGTAATATAGTATTACAAGTTAGTGAAGGATTAAGAGGTTAATTCCTAGGTTGCATAGGTTGTAATCTAAAAGTTGCTCAGTAGTGAACTTGAAATCCTATAAGGGTAGGTCGTGGTTTATAATCCCGTTGAGTTGGAAATTTTCCACGTAAAATTCCTTTATCATTTACTTCCTGTCGTGTGCGTGTGTTCTAGTGGAACAAACAGAGAACGTGGTTCTTTATAGAGTTTGGTGGACCCTTATATTCTATCAATTGGTATCAGAGCTGGTTCTTTCTATCTGGTTAACACCTAGAAAAGATCCTCATGGCTGCTCCCCCAAACTTCGAAGAAGGCAGTCTACTTACAAACCGCCTAGGTTCAATGGACAATATTACGGATGGAGGAAAACTAGGATGCACGACTTCATCATGGCTGAAGATTCTGCACTATGGGATGTCATATGTGAGGGACCCTTTGTTCCTACCAAGAATCTTGGTGACCCAGCTGTAGCCATTCCCAAGACGAGGAAGGAATTCAATGACGTTGATCGAAAGGCCATAGAAAAGAACTTTCGTGCAAAGAAAATTCTTGTTTGTGGCATTGGTCCTGATGAATATAACAGGATATCGGCATGCCAATTAGCAAAAGAAATCTGGAAGGCTCTTCAGACAGCTCACGAAGGAACAACACAGGTTAAACAATCCAAGATCTACATGCCCACAACTCAATATGAGCTCTTTAGGATGAAAGATGAGGAATCCATCCAAGATATGCACACTCGCTTCACCTCCATCATTAATGAGCTTCACTCTCTTGGTGAAACTATTCCAAGAAACAAGCTTGTCAGGAAAATCCTTAGTGTTCTGCCCAGTTCTTGGGAAAGCAAAGTGAACGCCATTATAGAGGTGAAGGACTTGCAGACACTGACCATAGATGAATTTGTTGGCAATCTGAAAACACATCAAATGAAGAAGAAGAAGGACAATGAAAGAAGAGAACCCAAAAGGGATAAGAATCTGGTCCTCAAGACAGACATCAATGATTCAAGTGGTGAGGATGGTGATATGGCTTACTTTACAAGAAGATTCCAAAAGATGGTTCGCAAGAATAGAGGCATTCCAAAAAGGGAAAATTCTAGCAAGCCAAAAAATTATGACCTCTGTCATAAATGTGGCAAGCCAGGACACTTCATCAAGGAGTGCCCTCTCTTAAAGCAAGACCAGTACAAAAACAACTTTGACAAAGCAACCAAGAGGAACTCGTTTCCTGATAAATGCTTCAAGAGAAAGAATGTTACTGACAATGTTGTAAAGCAAGCTCTTGCTGCTTGGGGAGACTCCTCCAGCGAATCTGAAGAAGAAAATGAGCATGGTAATAGTTCAATGATGGCAGTGGAAAGTGAAGCAACTGAGTATGACTCAATCTTTGCCTTGATGGCTCAATCTGATGATGATGAAGATAACGACGATGATGAGATAAATTTTCTGGATGTTTAGAGAAATCTAAAATCTTATTCTCAAAAAAACTCATGTCTTTGGAAAATGTGTTAATTGATGCTTACCACAGTCTTATAAATGATAAAGATGCTTTAACTGTAGAGTTAGGAGAAGCAGAACAAACCAGAGATGACTTAGTAATTGTTGTTGTTGATTTAAAGGAAACAATTGAGAACCTGAAGAAAGAGAAGGATACCTTAGATTAAAAAAAATGAAAATATAGAACATGAGAGAGATGGCCTATTAGTAGTGGTAGTAAACTTGAAGGAAACAATTGGGGAACCTAAAATAGAGAGTAGGCTTGAAAATTCTCAAAAGGGAAAGGAAGTTGCAAGCGAGGCGCACATTAAGCTTGAAAGTGAGTTAAAATCAGTGAAGTCTAGTCTGTGTGCTGAGCTTGAGAAAAACAAGAAACTTCATGAAGAACTAGGAAGAGTGAAGAGTGATCTTGAAAAATCACTCAAGTGGACCTGGTCCTCTGATGCTATCACTGCCATGTACGCCAACAATGGGGGAAACAAGCAGAGGATTAGGTTCCAAAGGGAAAAGATTCCCTACAACCATCATAGCAATTATGTTACTGTACCTGATAATTGGCTTTGCACTCACTGTGGCAACACTGGGCACTTTAAAGAAAACTATAAGGCTAGATTTCAGTCACAACAGAAAAACAAAGTTTTCGCTGAAAAAGTAACTACTGGTAGAGAACCTGGTCCCTCATATAAAAAACGCATGATGCCTGCTTGGACCAGAAGATTCCTCATTCACCCCTTTCCTCATTACAAGGGACTCAAACTCGTTTGGGTTCCTAAGTCTAACTCCTGATTTTCTTGTGCATGGAACAGTGAAAGGAAGCAACCTACAATGGTACATGGATAGTGGCTGCTCAAAGCACATGACTGGGAGTACAAATGATTTCCTTTCACTTAAAGCCCTGCAAGGAGGGAGTATATCCTTTGGAAATGGCAAGAATGTTGGCAAGAAAGGATACATTCTAGGAGTTGGAAGGATTGGGAAGTCTCTCTCACACTCAATCGAAAATGTGTACTACGTGAACGAATTGAAGTACAACTTGCTAAGTGTTTCCCATATCTATGACAAGGGAAACAGGGTGGAATTTGTACCAAAAATATGTACAGTCACAAACCTAGTGACTGGTGAGGTGGTGCTAGTAGCAAAAAGATACAAAAATATCTATGTTGTCGATTTTGAGTCTCTGCAGAATGGTGATCTCAACTGTCTAAGTGCTATTGATGATGATGCTGAATTATGGCATAAGAGGTTGGATCATGCAAGCTTCACGTTGCTAAACAAATTGGTCAGGAAGGACCTGGTTCATGGTCTGCCCAAGTCAAGTTTCAAGGACCACAAAGTGTGTGATGCATGTGTAAAAGGCAAGCAAGTCAGATCCTCATTCAAGCCCAAAAAGGAAGTCAGTACCTCAAGTCCACTTGATCTTCTTCACACGGATCTATGTGGACCCATGAGGGTGGCAAGCAGGGGAGGAAAGAAATATATCTTCGTTATAGTTGACGATTACTCTAGATTCACCTGGACTCTGTTTCTCAGAACCAAGGATGAAACCTTTGAAGTGTTTGTTGCCTTTGTCAAAAGGATTCAAGTGAGGATGGGTAATAATGTAGCTTGCATCAGGTCTGATCATGGGACAAAGTTCGACAATGCCAAATTTGATGAGTTCTGAACTGAAAATGGTATCACTCATAATTTTTCAGCTCCAAGAACACATCAACAAAATGGTGTTGTGGAGAGGAAGAATAGAACTATTGAAGACATGGCAAGGACAATGTTGATTGACAGTGGGATCGCAAAGAATTTCTGGGCAAAAGCTGTCAATACTGCTTGCTACTTGGTAAACAGGTGCATGATCAGGTCCCTTTTGAACAAGACTCCATATGAACTGTTGAATGGAAGGAAACCCAAGCTGACACATCTAAGGACTTTTGGGTGTAAATGTTTTATCCTCAACAATGGAAAAGAAGCTCTTGGAAAATTCTACGCCAAAAGTAATGAAGGAATCTTTCTGGGATACTCATCCCAAAGCAAAGCTTACAAAGTATACAACAAAAGGACTCAATGTGTTGAAGAGAGTATACATGTGATTTTTCATGAATCTCATCTCTTCTGTGAGAAGGACAAACGCATTGACCAAGATGGAGAACCTTTATCTATTCCAAGTGAAGTCATTGACATGGCAAATGGAAAGGCAGACATGATGAGTCATGTTAAGGAATCCAGTAAAGATGATGCAAATACATCTCCATCTATTGGAGAGGAACCTGGTCCCACGATCACAACAACTGAAGCTAAAAATAGAATTGTTGATGCAGTCCAAGGTACTCCACTTGCTGAAGTAAGAAGCGGCCAAGAACCTCAGTCAGATATACCTGGGTCCTCTACAAATGAGATTCAGGTACCAAACTGGAAGCACAAAAGCTCACATCCTCTTGACAACATAATCACCCCTCTTGATTCAGGTGTTCAAACCAGATCAAAAGCCAGAAATTCACTTGCCTTTTCAGCCTTTCTTTTTCAAATAGAGCTCAAAAACATCAAAGAAGCGTTGAAAGATGCAAACTGGATCACTGCCATGCAAGAGGAGCTGCATCAATTTGAAAGAAATAAGGTATGGCACCTGGTCCCTCGACCTACAGATCGAACTATCATAGGAACCAGGTGGGTATTTAGGAACAAACTTGATGAGTTTGGAAATAAAACAAGAAACAAGGCAAGGCTTGTAGTTCAAGGCTACAATCATGAAGAAGGGATCGATTATGATGAAACGTTTGCTCCAGTTGCTTGAATGGAAGCCATTAGAATTTGTATTGCCTTTGCATCTCATATGGAATTCACACTGTTCCAAATGGATGTCAAAAGTGCATTTCTAAACGGCTATCTGAAAAAAGAAGTCTATGTCAAGCAGCCTCCTGGTTTTGAGAGTCACGAGCATCCTGAGCATGTGTGCAAACTGGACAAGGCATTGTACGGGCTAAAGCAGGCTCCCCGGGCTTGGTATAAAAGGTTGTCAAAATTCCTTCTAAAAAATGGATTTACAAGAGGGAAAATTGACAGCACTCTTTTTCTGAAGAAACGAGGAAGGAACCTACTCATTGTTCAGGTATACGTTGATGATATCATCTTTGGAGCCACAACTGACTCTCTTTGTGAAGAATTTGCAAAACTCATGGGGAGTGAGTTCGACATGAGTATGATGGGAGAATTAAATTTCTTCCTAGGACTTCAAGTGAAGCAATCTCATAAGGGAACTTTGATAAGTCAGCAGAAGTACATCAAGGAATTACTGAAAAGGTTTGACATGGAAGCATCAAAAGTCATCGACACCCCTATTGCCACAGTTACCCGTCTAGACATGGATGAACGTGGTTCCCCTGTAAATCAGAACATGTATAGAGGGATCATAGGGTCACTTCTGTATCTTACTGCAAGTAGACCAGACATCGTTTTCAGCGTAGGTCTTTGTACAAGATATCAATCCAATCCAAAGGAATATCATCTGAAGGCTGTCAA